TATTGTGGAATCCTATAACTCAGTGGTTAGAGCACTCGCCTCGCATGCGAGAGACCTGGGTTCTATTTCCAGGTCAGGGTGAAATGTTGGGCAAGTTTCCTTACTCCACACGCCTCTGTTTACCTAGCAATAAGTAGGAACTCATTTGTTAGTTGAGAGATGGCAGATCACTTTTCCGGGGATAATAATCCCTAAAAAAATGTGGTCATTCAATCCACGACTGTTTGTGGAACACTGCTGTGTGCAATTGGCTGCCGCATTTCGCCCACAAATATTCAGTCAATTCACTTAACAGTATATTCTGTGAAGCACTTTGAGATGTCTTGAAGAAATTTAAAAAGGCTACATCAAATGCAACGATTATTATTATTAATATTGTAGCGTGATATGGCATGGAGAGAGGCCATTCAACCCAATCAGTTCACATTGAGTTGACATGAAGGAACCTATATAAATGCAAGTTGTTGTTCTGACTCAGGCAAGAATGCTACCAACTGAGCCAAACTGACAGCACTGTAATCAAGCACAGCTTCTATAATCCCTATAACTCACAACTCCTTTCTCAACAGATATTGATTCAACTCTGTTTGAAGGTTGACTCAGAATTCAATACTACCCCAGACTCCATTCCACATATTTAGTACACTGGGAGAAAATTGCTTCTAATCTCTAATCCACCTCAAGGCACATGAATCTTGAATTTTATTAGTAACAGTAAAGTACACCTTTGGCTTTGGAATGGGGAGAGAATGGTATATTTCATGACATGTTTACACATCTCAGACTTCAGCAAATCTCAGTATTCAGCAAACATTAAACCTAGGCAATCCAAATACCAGTGCCTAACATTGTGAAATTAACTTTAAATGCATAGTAGTAAGTGCGCTGGGTTGGTACCCCGTGTGAAAGACACTATATAAATGCATGTTGTTGTTGAAGAACTTTTGTGACTTGTTTGCCAACCATCCCCTACATAGTATACAGTCATTACACTTTACAGTAATTTCTCTAAAGTGCTTTGAGATGTCCTCCTGATATGTTTACCTTAAATCTGCCCATAAGATACGAGACACGTTATTCTTCAATTAATTTAGTTAATAATTTCCTACTAGTGTGATCTTTCCTGTCTTGCTTTTTTTAAAAAAACAGGGAACTGCATGTATATATTATCTAAATGTTTAGCAAGTGATTATTGAAGCTTGCAGTGGAATGCAGACTAATCTTTCGCTCCACTGACGATCAGGTTGAATAATTTCTCGCTTCACTTGTGACAAAAGCTTTGGCAAATTGATAAAGCCTCCCATTATCTTTTATTTCACTGTGTGATAAAGGCGTTCACCATTCAGTCAGTCCCTTCAGAGTTGCTGTGTGTCAAGGAATGAACAGCTTGGCTGCTTATGTTTTACCTTTTGCCTATAAGCCTCCTGTGAGTGACTCTGCGTGCTGGCCCTTGAGTAATGGAAGGCAGTGAAGACAATGCACAGAGAGGATGCAAAATCAAGAAGTTTTTCTCACATTTGATAGAAAAAGTCAATGCAAGAGAATGTTTGACATGGTAAGTGAACAGAAATCAACCTTTCAATATTATTTCCTCCAGTTGTCAAATCAATAAACCAAGTAGAGTAGAATTGTTGAAGTTTCACATCAATCTTTGCATATTATTAGAATTTCTTTATGTTTTTGTTTAAAAGGGGAGAATGCGATCAGACAAATGATTATAAATCAGTCAGTCTAACATCAGCAGTGGAGAAACATTTAGAGGCAGTAATGTGGGGTAATATTAATAACCACTTGAAAAGACATGGTTTGATTAAAGACAGTTAACGTGGATTTGTTAAAAGCAAATCTTGCTTAACAAATCTAATGGAGTCCTTTGATGAAATAACAAAGAGACTAGATAAAGATAATGTTGTGGAGGTGGTATACAGTATACAGATTTGCAGAAGGCTTTAGATAAAGTGTTGCACAAAAAGCTTTTTAACAATAACGACTTGCATTTATACATAGCGCCCCTCAGACAGCGTAGTATCCCAGAGCATTTGACAGTGGCACAGCATGACATTGAAAAGAAATAGACATGTGCTCAAGGTCTGAAGTGATTAAAATTAATGTTGAGGCCAGTGGTCTGTAAAGTGCCTAGTAGGTAGATGAGGTGCTGTTCCTTGAACTTGCGTTGTGCTTCATTGGAACAGCATAGGAGGCCATGGACAGAGGTCATAGTGGAAGTGGGCAGGAGAATTAAAATGGCAAACGATCGGAAGCTCAAGCTTGCACTTGCACACAGAACGGAGATGGATTCAAAGCATGGATATAGAGTTGGTCGAAGGATAGGAAACCAAAGGCAGAATTAAACAACAACAACAACTTGGATTTATACAGCGCCCTCCACGCCAGACGGCATCTCAGAGCGCTTCACAGTAACGAATCCCGGGGCCGAGCCTAGGGGAGGGGGAGATGACCAAAGGAGCGGTCGAAAAAAAGGTCTTCAGTAGGGACCTGAAAGTAGGAAGGGAGGGAGCGAGGCAAAGGGAGTGAGGATGGGAATTCCAGAGCCTTGGGGCATGGCCGCCGAGGGTGGAGTGGAGGACTTGGGGGACGAGGAGGAGGCCAGACCTGGACAACAATTAAAGAGTTGTTAATTGGAACAGGGAGATGTAAATAGTGGTGTCTCCCAGAAAGTTGAGTTAAGACCACTGCTTTTCTCCGTTTATACATATATATATATTTATGTGTATGTATACATATATATATATGAGATCTGGATTCCAGTGTAAGGGACACAATTTCTAAGTTTGCAGATGACACAAAAATAGGGAGTGTAGCTAACGGGAGACGATTGTAAGCACCTTCTTGGGAATGTAGTTAGATTAACATTAACAGAGAAATGGTAAATTAAATTTAATGCAAACAATTGTGAGGTTATGCATTTTATGAGGGGTCCTCAGCTAGACCGCAGTTAGAATATTGTGTTTAGTTTTGGTCACCCACTTTAGAAAGGAAGACAATGCCATAGAGGGGGCGCAGAGGAGATTTACTAGAATGATACCAAGGATCAGTGGTTTAACCAATGAGCAGTGACAGGAAGAACTGGGACTATTTCCATTGGAACAAAGAAAGTTGAGAGGTGACCTGACCTGGAATTCCTGACAGGAGGCAACAATTCTATTTTGTGGGCGAAACGAGGCAGGCAATTGCACACAGCAGTGTCCCACAAACAGTCATGGATTGAACAACAAATTATTATTATTAAAATTGCAAATGGTATATTCTAAAATATGCAAAGAACACACATGGAATAGTTGCTCTCAGTACCAAAAAGCCAAAACTCCATAATGGAGGGTAGGAGAACTATGTTACGAGTTAGGAGATGATTAATATGAGTAGTGCAAAGAAATCTATTTGGTTTTGATAGGAAACTGAATGGGACTCAGGTGAATGTATGACTTAGCTGATTATATGGTTTAGAAAGATAAGACTTACTTGAGTTTTACTATACAGAAACAGTTAAGTTTTATTTTGCCATATGTTAAATACAAAGAAATACAGAACTAATTGAGTTTTATACCAGAATTAAGGGTGTGTGTGTCTGTGCGAGGAGTGCTCTGTGACCCCGCCCGGCGTGGAGGGCGCTATATAAGTGCAAGTTGTTGTTGTTGAAGTGGAGGGTCTGATCACGAAACCACAATTGAGAAAGATTACATTGTCTTTAACATTGTTCGAGACTGAGTTATAAGAGATTTAAAGGCTTGGGGATAAAGTCTGTACTGAGGGATTCTATTAAACATCGCCTTGTTTTGTATATTATTCATTTATAAAAAAAATCCAGCAATTATATTCACATTTTTTTGTTTTCTGAACATTATTTTTAAAAAAAGCTGTCGAAGAGCACCTATGGACAGCTATTCTTCACTAATGCTGCCACCTCTTTACAATGTAAACGTTAACCACATATACTTCTCACGGCTGTCATTATACTAAAGCTGATATCATAGAATCTATGAATTATACAGCACAGAAGGAGGCCATTTGGCCCATTGTGTCTGTGCTGTCTCTTTGAAAAGAGCTATCCAAATCAATCCCACTCCCCCTCTCTATTCCCATAGCCTTGCAAACTTGTCCTCCCCAAATATTTGTCTACTTCTCTCTTAAAAGTTGTTATCGAATTGGCTTCCTTTCATATCAAGCCCACATAGTTCAAGGACGCCTTTTAACACCGCTATTGTTAATTCAGATCATGCTCCTTAGAACAGAGTTTGTGCCAATCCTTGCCCATCATCGCTTCGTTAGTACTCAGTTTCCAACCAAGACTACATAAAACCATTAGAGGGGAATTATGGTGCTAGTCTGTTTTTCCTAGGAGCGAGAATAACGACAGATAATTCACATTTATTGTTCATTTTCACTATTGTGAATTTTCAATCCCACAGGCATTTTAAGAAAAAAATATTATCTTAAATTACCATTACCATTTTCTCCTTTTTTCCTGCTTCTCACTGCTACAAATAGATGAGGTTTATTCAATAATTCAGCACATGGTGCAGAAAAAAGTGCTCACATTTTCTGATCTCTGTTTGCTGATGGCTGGAATTGTACATTGAACAGTCATTAATCACATGAGTGATTTAACCAAAGATAAACAAATATTACTAGAGGGAAAGAAAGAAGAAATTTTAAAAATGTTGAGATTACTCATTCAGTAGTTTGCCATAACTGTTTGTCTTTACTTTTCCCTTCTGAAATTCCTGAAACCCAAGTTGATCTATAAAATTTGATCACAAACTGAATATATTAAGAATCCTTGCCCTTGCACCAGTGCTTTTATGTAAAAAATAACTCAAAACACGTCACAAATAGTTGCTGTCAAATACAGAGACCATGTGTATTTTGTTGGCAAACCCAGCAGTTAATTTGCAGCCAGCAGCTATTTTGCGCATAGTAAGGTCTCACAAATAGCCAAGTATTGAGCTGGGGTGTGTGTGATTCCCCCCAGCTTTGGCATAATGGTTGGACTTGAAGAGGATTTCTCAAAGAGCTTCACGGGATATAATGAAAGGTGAAGTAACTCTGTATTTTGTAGATAAGCATATTTCAATGCGAGTTCACAAGATATCTGCTTAACTCAGAACAAGAGGACATATTTCCATTCATCTATTTGCTCCTGACGATGGATTCTATAAGATTTCCAATTATCAAGGAGATTGTAGAGTCGTGTATCATGAACTAACTCTTCTGGGCTATCACCAAAGTGAAGAAATGTTGCTTAATTAACCAGAAATCTTGATTTCTCCTAGGCGTGTTCTCAAATTGAGTTCAACTGGTGTCCAGAAACAACAATAACAGCAAATTACACTTGTATAATGCCTTCACGTCGGAAAGACGACCCAGGGCGCTGGACACTCAGCGTTTTTGGAACCAAGTTGCGGTCAGAAGGAAAGGAGGGCAGGGGTGGGTGGGAGAGTATCCGAAGGCACGATCGAAGAGGAAGGTCTTCCGACGGCACTTGAAAGAGGCAAGAGAAGGGGGGGTGAGACAGAGGGATTGCGAGATAGAATTCCAGAGTGTGGGGATAGAGATGCTGAATACATTCAAACACAAGCACTCAAATGGCACATTCTATAGCCAGCAGTTTCATTGATAGCCATGGTCAGTCTTCAAGCCCACCCATTATGCCAAAGCTGGGTGGGGGTTAATCCCTCCCCCCACCCCCCCAGTTGACAATTATCAACTGACTTGAACTGTATTTAGCATTGATGTGATAATTATCACCAACATTGATAATTACTGTATACGTGGCAATTTTTGCCCCATATTGCATATTGCATTTTGCTATTAGGAGCTGCATGTAAGTATTAAAATAGTAATCAATGAACATCTTGATGCTGTATTTGGAGGATGGTGGGTGGGGAGGATTCTGGTACAATGGGATCAAAAGGGGCCAAATGGTCTTCTTCATCTGAACCTCTCTTCTGATCATATATAAATGAATGTTGCTTATTGAGGTGCTTAAAAGAATGACTGGAATTCAGAACATAGAGAATAGAGATTCTTCCCTCAAGTAAGGAATTCCAGAACAAGGGGACATATATTCATTCAGGTAATTTTCAATTTGCTTCATTAGTTTTCCAATTATCAAGGAGAATGTCCAGTCGTGTATCAGAAACTAACTCTTGTTGGCTATCCCCTAAGTGAAGAAATGTTGCTTAATTAACCAGAAATCTTGATTTCTTCTAGGCGTTTTCTCAAGCAAATCCTCCTTGGCCAAGGATTGTCCGTGTTATTATGTGGAACTGGAGTCACCAGTCAGTATTTGGCAAAGGAATTTGCTGTGGAAACTCCGATGTTTCAGAGTTTTCTCAATTATTTGCTTCTGTGCCTGGTTTATACGGGGATACTGGCTTTCAGGCAGGGTATGTTGGATTTGTTTGAGATAAATATCATTAGCATAAAGCATAATGTGTGCTGAAATGTCAGTGTCAGCCTGGCTCGGTTGGTAGCACTCTCGCTTCTGAATCAGAAGGTTCAAACCCTACGTCGGATCCTTCAACTCATAAACTTAGCTGATATTCCAGTACAGTGCTGGGGTACTACATTGTTGGGCTTCGAATGAGATGTTAAACCAAGGTCCTGTTCAGGTTTTGCTTGTTCACGTGGATGTTAAGATCCCATTGCACTATTCAAAAAGAGAAGGGAGTTTCTCCTGGTGTCCTGGCCAATGATAAAGTTGATCACTCACTTCATGCCTGTTTGTGGACATTTCAATGCGCAAACTGGTTGTCGCATTTGCCTACATAATACACAATCACTCCACAGTAAAATTGTGTGAAGAGCTTTGAGGCACCTTCCTAACGTGAAAGACACTATATCACATACAATTTAATACAATTTACCTTTCATATTGGAAGAACGTCTCAAAGCACTTGACATCCCTGGTGATGACACATTCTATAGCCTGGGGGGAGAGGTGGAGATGGGGGGAGAAGACCGAAAGCACGGTCAAAAATAGGTCTCGAATGGAGGGAGGGAGTGAAGGAGAGGAGAATTGGGAGAAGTGAATGGTGGGGTACAGGGTGGGAGCATTTTGTTGTTGGGGTGAGAGCAGTTAAAAATGCATATTCCTAGACAAGGAGCAAAGGATCAGCAGGGAATGGTCGGGCTCGATAGGATGTAAGGGTTATTATTAATATGAGTAACGTGCAAACGAAATGAAAACACAGAATTGATTTTTCTTTTAATTAGGTGAAGAAAACTTAATGCAGATATTGAAAACAAAATGGTGGAAATATCTCCTACTGGGATTAATTGATGTTGAAGCTAACTACATGATAGTCAAGGCTTATCAGTATACAACATTAACAAGTGTTCAGGTAAACCTTAGATCCTTAATCCGGGACATCCTCCCGACGTGAAAGGTGCTATACAAATGTAATTTTATTGTTGTTAACTCTCATTGCTACAATCATCATGCTGTAGATTTTCCACTGCACAGTCTCAAAAGCAAATTAGATGGATTTCTTTTAGGAAATAATATCATTGGATACAGAATATATCATGGGACATGACATGAGCATGTGACTGCCAGATGGTGGAAGGTAAATTGGATGGACCTTGGTCTTATTTTTTCTAGCAATTCGGATTTTCTTCTGTTTACTAAAGTCAATAGAGATTTAATGCTGGTACTAACCTGTTAGTTTCTACCCCTCCCATTCCCCAGTGCTCACAATGTCACCACAATGTGAGGCAACAATAAACAAGGTAAACAGTATGCTGTGGTATATTGCTAAATCCGTTGAGTTTAGATCCACAGATGTCTTTCTCAGGCTGTGGAGAGCTCTGGTCATGCCACACTAGAGTACTCCATACAGTTCTGGTCACAGTGACATAAGGGGGACTGCCTGGACTCTAGACTCAATGCAGAGGAGAGCAATGAGGATGATTCCCAGTGTTGGAGGAATGAGGTATGAGTGACAATTAGACGTTAGGACTCTTCAGTCTTGAGAAAAGACACTCAAAGAGGATATAGAGGTATACAAAAATTTTAAATGAACAATGCGAATCTTGTGATGTAGTTAGTAACAAATATTATATTTGTTATATTCTAAATGTTATTGATAGTAATATTCCACCCTCTCGTCTTGAGGGTGCTTGTGTTTTAATATCTTGCCCATGTGAATACTCTTGGAGCTTTAGACAATGAATGTCACTAAACTGATTAATGCAGGGTGTGGGGAAAAACCATCACAGTTATGATTACTTCTATTCTCATCCAATGTATACGTGCACTTTCAGCAAGATTAATAGGGCAGAAATCAGATGCCTCCCTTCCTGGTATACAGGAAGGTCATTCATTTCTTTACTATACCTTGATGTACATTGTGATTTACATTGTGTACATTCATTATAAATAATAATCCTTGCATTTGATATAGCGCTTTTCACGTCGGGAGGACGTCCCAAAGCGCTTCACAGAATATACTGTAAAGTGAATTGACTGTATATTTGTGGGCGAACGCGGCAGCCAATTGCGCACAGCAATGTCCCACAAACAGTCGTAGATTGAAAATGACCAATTTATTATTGTTTTGTTTTGGAGGGATTATTATTAGGCTCTGTGTGAAGTAAGGAAACTTGCCCAAGGTTTCGCCCTGCCTGGAATTGAACTCAGGTCTCTCGCTTGCAAAGCGAGTGCTCTAACCACTGAGCTACAGGACTCATTAACACTAATTCAAAATGATTTATGATGGATAGAATCCCAATGCATTTAAAAGTTACAATAAAACTAAAACAGTAGAAGGTTAAACCTATCCTCTTGATAACAACAGGTGAATAAATTATTTGTTGGTTTTAAATATTGTTTAAATGTATGATTGTTGTATTCTTTCAGCTTCTAGATTGCTTTACTATCCCTGTGGTGATGTTTTTATCCTGGTTTATCTTACATTCAAGATACAAAGTTCTCCATTTTGTGGCTATATCAATCTGCCTGATGGGTGTTGGGGTCATGGTTGGTGCAGATATTCTGGCAGAAAGGGAGCAAGGCTCAGGTAAGACTGGATGGTGTGAAAGGTCTGACCATATCTAGAGACGTTTGACATTGAGCAAAAAGAGTGAGTAGTGCTTTTCAGGTCATTGTGCCTGAAAGAACTACCTGCAGAACAGTAAAGTCACCAGTAAAATGAGATTGTCATTTGACTGTGTTTGGTAGTTTTTGTGAATTTGTCTGCAGGCACGCTTATAACTCTTAATACGTTTACAAATTTATTTCAGTTACATTATTTAGAACTATATTTATTATTTTATTTTGCCCACAAACCACAGTCACTCCACTTTACGGTATATTCCATGAAGTGCTGTGGGACGTCTCAACGACACGATGAGGCACTATATTAAATGCAAGGTTTATTATTTTTAACTATACAGTGAAAAATTCATAAAAGTGGCCAAACAAACAAACAAGAATAGCAACAGATACTCCCTCAGGACAACATTTGGGGATGAAACAGTAACATTGCCAATGACAATATTAGAACATTCCTCACTCTTGTAAAACTGAGAGTTCCATTAATTTTATTAGAAGATTGAAGATTTGATATTGGGAGCATTTCATCTTTACCTTGATTGTTCAAAAGAAAATGTTGCGTAAAGTAATGTGTTGAAGTTTTGACTTTTTTTTTGCTCAAATGGACTGACTTACTGTCTGATTTTTCTTTTAACCAGTTAAAAACATATTGCTGGGAGACCTCCTGGTCCTAGGAGGAGCCATACTTTATGGATGTTCCAATGTGTGTGAAGAATACGTTGTGAAGAACCTTAGCAGAGTGGAATTCCTGGGAATGATTGGCCTATTTGGGACCTTCATTAGCAGTATACAGCTGTAAGGAATGGTGAAAGCTTTCTGCTCCATATCCAAGTCAAGCAATATTTAGGAATGGACATAGGAATGTGCAGGACCAAAAAATCCCATTGTGGTCCATCTCATCAATCAACAAACTGTGTTGGTTTGATACTATGGGAAACTGTTTTAAGCACAAGTTCCCAGAAAATGTGTGTGGAAATTAGTTGGGAAGTGGGATGAATACAGTTTACTGGAGTTTGTAATTGATTCCTGTAGTAGAGTCCCGTAGTATAATGGTTAGCGCACTCGCCTCGCAAGTGAGAGGACCTGGGTTCAATTCCTGGGAGAGGCAAAAACTTTGGCAAGTTTCCTTGCTGTGCACAATTGGCTGCCACATTTCACTCACAAAATACACAGTAAATCCACTTTACAGTGAAGCGCTTTATCAAATGCAAGGATTATTATTATATTATTATAATCATTTGGAGACCAGGAAGGATCTGTTGCAGAATGTTTCCTCAAGAGATTGAGTGGTGTGTGGAGTCCTCAAAAGGGGTAGACTGTGTACAGTTTATGAAAGGAGAGAGTTTGATGGTTGAAAGTTCCAACCCCTGTCCTCCCATCATCCAATGCCTGTCCTTCATCATCCACCTCAGGAGGACTGCACTCGCTTGGTTCGAGTCTTACCTTACAAACCACCAGAACTGCATTTCTGCAAATGACTTTTCTTTACGCTTCCACCCAGTCACCTGCGGGATACCCCAAGGATCCATCCTTGGCCCCCTTCCTCAATCTAATTCAAAAGCAAATAATATATTATTAATATATTAATTATATGCCTTATATAATGCTCTACAACTTGACTAGACTATTGGCAAACTAAAGTTTTAATGTCTTTTTTGTATAAATGAAATGGTGATTAATATTATTGAATACAATGATAGAATTGGAGCATGATTCACTTCATGGTTGTTTTTAGCCCAATGCGGTGTGCAAATTGCTGCCGGGTTTGCCCACAACATACATAGTCAATGTTCCAACCCCAATGCTTTACAATATAGCACTTTGAGACAATGTTATAAGGTGCTGTATTGAATACAGGAATTATTATTATTATAAATTTCTGTTTCCTGCTGAAAATGGCAGCCAGTCATGTGCGAGGAGAGACAATGATATGCCATAGGAAATCCATCTTCTGCCTTGTCATAACCACTATTAAAGCTAGATTTTAAATTATTATGTCTGCTCTCATACAAATAGAACTAAAAAGAAATTCATGAAGAAGTGTCCCACGAATACCTAGTTGACACACTGCTTTCAGAAGTCAAGTCCATCATTTTATCTATTTGCTTTTCTGTTGCAGAGGCATTGTAGAACATAACACGATTGCTGCCATTAATTGGAATTGGGAAATTGGTAAGCAATCACTCGTTTGGGAAACTTCACTCATTTCCTTGCTACTCACTCTAGCTTTAGCTATAACCTATGGAAATAGCCTTGAAAGAAAGTTAAAGATTTACTCTGCGTTGTTTTTATTTCTGAAAATTCCTCCTCCCAACCTCAGGGTTGCTGAGTCCATTTCTAGCCGCCATCACCCCACCCTCCCCTGAGACCAGTTAACTCAATGCCGATTTGATATTTGAAAAGAGAAGGGTGTTTCTCCTGGTGCCCTGGCCAACAATCACCCAAAATAAAATTAGTCATTCACTCCATAGCTGTTTGTGGGATACAGTTCAAGATCCTGGTCCTCACCTCCAAAACCCTCCTCAATCTTGCTTCCCCTACCTCTGCAATCACCTAACCTCCTAACATCCTGCCTGCTCCCTCCACTCAGTAGGCTCTGGCCAGCTTCACATCCCCTGCCTCGCCTGCCCAACCATTGGCGGGCGGGCCTTTTGCCACTCTGCCCCCACCTCTGGAACTCCATCTGGCAGTCCCTCTGCCTCCTTCAAGACCCATCTCAAGATCCTCCTTTTTGACCGTGCTTTCGACCACCCTGCTTCCACCCCCTGTCCTCCACTTTCCCCAATCCCAACCCCCAGTTCGTGTCCAAAACACTGACTGTCCAGCACCTTGGGACATCCTCCTGACATGAAAGACACTATACAAATGTAATTTTGTTGTTTATGGTCGGTTAACAGAATAAATGTTCTTGATTGAATAATTCTTAATTTATGCCATAAATCAAGAAATATTCAATCAAAGAAAAAGCTGAAAGCACACTGCTGATCAAACATGAACTTACCTAGACTCGTGCTAATGTGCAAGAGGGTGGGGGGCAATTTTGGTCCGGAGGCTACAGGTTGGCCATTGCTGGCCTACATTCTGTAGTAAATCCTGTGAAGCAGCTTCAGAGTTTTGATTGACGTGATGAATCAAATGCAAGGATTATTATCATTTATTACTGGGTGTTAAGGAAAAAACTTTTTGAGTTCCAATCAAACACAGCCACTGTTTGCAACCAGCATGGTGTTTATTAAACTCCAGGATCCGTCCAAGTTCCCGATGGGCGTGGGCAAGTAAGCACAATCAATCAATTCACTAACAGAACAATACTACCGCGTAATTCCTCCTCGTGGTTGTCTACTTCTGCCCTCTAGCTCTCAGTCTTCCATCCACGGTAGGTACTGTCCTGGGCGCGCGCCGATCTTGGTCTGGGACGGTGTCTTAAGCTTGTGTCCATCCAATCATGGTGCGGACGTTAGGTCACCTGGCCAAAATCATGCTGGGTTCAAGTGAACATCTCATGGAGTGTACGTGCCTCACATACACAAACACACTGTCCTTGAGACAGTCCGTTATCTTGTGTACTTGCAGGGCAGTAGTACACATCTCGTCCTTGAGACACTCACGTGATCCTGGGAAACTCATGAGTTTCAGTCCAGTTCTCCCCATACTTAACTTAAAAGTTAACCTGTTCGCAACATCTATTATGATTCTAACATTATACAAAAAGTGTAAATTCTAACATGGGTCATATATACCAGGAAGGTCTTAAGCTCAATTCCAATTGGCAAAAGGTTAACTGATCTCAGGCTGCAATGGCTACAATTAAATTCAGTAACCTTGAGGCAGGCAGGAGGCGGGATTTTCTTAGACACAGATTTCAATATAGCTTTTGTGGTTTATCGCTTTGTATTCATAACAGAGTAGTTGTGTCATAGCTCACTTATGAAGAATGATCACTTGATTGGTACGAATGGGTTGAACAGCAGTTTCAGCTGAAGATTTAAACTAAACTTATTCTTATTTTGTTTCCTCTTTCTTGCAGTGCTATTGTTTATTGCATTCGCCGCTTGCATGTTTGCATTGTACAACTTAATGCCGATTGTGGTTAAATTTACCAACGCTACCTCCATCAACCTGGCCACCCTGACAGCCGACCTCTACAGCCTTCTCATTGGGGTTTTCTTGTTCAACTACGAAGTATGTAAGAGGGTTAGCAAACTAATGCATTTATGTAGAACCAAATGAGTGCTCTGTAGCAGAGCTATAATAATAGTGGGGACAAGACATCCTACTTTGCCATACATTATGGGTGAACAATGGGTCATAACCAATTCATTGATCACCCAACTTTATCAGAATGGGTCTGAAGCTGATTTTCAAAAAATCTCTACACCTTGTATTTAACAACAACTTGTATTTATATAGCGCTCTTTACTCAGGATAAATTCTTTGAGCGATGAACAATAGCAGAGTTTAACACCGAATGGGAGAGTAAAGGGAGGTGAGGCAGAGAGCTCCATGTCATAGTGGCTGAAGGCACAGGAGCCGACGGGAGGTGCACAGAAGGCCTGAGTGGCCAAGTGAAGATAGTGGTTAGAAAGTGAGGTGTGAGCAGCTCGGAAGGTGCGAGGGCATTTTCTTGTTCAGGGGGAGCACGTTCTGATTCCAGCCAGCATCTGACTTCTAGCTGCGCTAACATGTCCTTCTGCACAATCTGGAGCAGCATTGGCAGCTCAGATGTCATTGGGCCTAACTAGTGCATCAACGTCAGGGGTGATGATAGGGTTAGAAGGAAAAATAACCGATTCGATAATGTGCTCAATAATTCGCAAATCTGTTATGAAACATCCCATTTTTCAACTGTTTGACAAATTGCAATTAGAAAAATTCATTTTAAGCATATCTCATCAGCTATCACAAATAGCAGTAAGCAGAATATCCAGCTTTGTTCTCTTTATAGAATGATATTCTAGCTTTTTTTAAAAAAAAATTGTTCCAGCATTGCCAAAGCACATGCTGTATGTGGTTAGGAAAGTAAGTTTTTATTTGGTCAGATGGGTGTCTAACACATGCAGAAATCCATCACTTTGCTTAAGAGTAGACCAAACCAGACTGAGAGTTCCATGCGTCCCATCTACTGAAAGATGGACAATCTGCTCATTCTTTATTTGTATACCTCATCTAAATCCTTTATATATAAATAAATGTTAATATTAAAATGTACAATAAGTGTTCATTTAACAGCTAATAAGATGGAAGTTATTTTGCAACATCATTTATTGTTAAGCCCAAACCATTAATTTTCTGTGGAATGCCATCTTTTGCAGCCTATTTCTTTTAATGGCTGTTTATTTGAATATCTATAATTTTCTTTTTGTTGAAAAGATAGCAGGGAGCTGTGCCAGGCTGCTCAGCAATAGGAGAAGTCACACCACAATCTCTGAGAGCTACTGCTGTTTCAAATCTCCACTGCCTGCTCTCGGACTATTTTCTGTGTTGAATAATTATAGAAAAGCACAAAGATTAGTGTCCCTGCAGCAATGTGTAGGAGGACTCTATGGAAACAAAAAGGAAAAAAGCTGTTGACACTGTGATAAATCTGAACCCCTCCTGAGCCTCCATTGCAGAAGTTTTATATTACGTCAACCGGTATGACAAGTTAACATTAAAAGGCTATTTTTTAATGATGACAATTAATCCTCCAGTTATTCTTTTGCATTTCAAAGATGCAGTAAGTTCAGAAATTTCTGTTCATCTTTCAGTAGATAGGACGCATGGAACTCTCAGCCTGGCTCAATTGGTAACATTTTTGTCTCTATCAGAAGGTTATAGGTTTCAAGCCCCAAGTTGGCTTCAAAATTACAATTTAAGGTTTGTCCAAAACTTGTACTCTCTGAAATGCTAAGAAAAGTTTATCTAAACCCATATGGAACCCCTCCCATATAAAACAAGGTAACAAAGGTGACTGAGAAATAACTGTACACTTAACAGAATTTCCTTTATAATCCTTAACTTTACAGCATCATTTTGAAGTGTACCTTCCCACTAATGTTTTTTTTAAAATGGCAGATTGATTTTATTTTGAATTTGAAAAGTACTGCATTTTATAATTCATATCCACTGTGATTTATTTACTTTTGGTCACTGGGTGTCTGGCACATGCAGAAACCCAATAATGTGCTTGAGGTTATCAAACCAAACTGAGAGTTCTGGGCATGTCATGGAAATTCCTATGTTTGGATTTTGATTTACTGCGGAGAATCACTGAGCTGTTGGAGATTTAAAGGAGTTAAGATTGTTTTGGTCAGCCAGAAATCCATTACCACTCCTGAGTTTATCCAAATCAGATACAGTTCAATATATGTAAGTCATCATGAAACTTTCCTTGTGTTTGGATTGAAATGCCCACCTTACCTGGAGGGATGCACCCTGCTTACCTAATTCTGTGGAGTATTAGATGCAGGTTGGCAAGAGCAAAGAAAAGAAGGGCAAATCGGGAGGCAGAGGGGATGATTTCTATAACATTTTGCCATTCATTCTTCCTAACTGTTTCCTTTGACCATTGAGTTGGGGCCTAAAAAAACATTTACTCACCATTAATTGGACATTGGAGTATTGGAGTGTCAGCCTGACTAGGTGAGTTCAAAGTCCCGACATGAGGCTGGAACCCAGAACCTTCTGACTCAAAGGAAAGAGTTCTTCCAACTGACCCAGGCTGACACCAGGTTAACGAAGCCTGGGTTAATTATTAAGTGATATGCTCTTAATCATTCTGTTTTTTCTAAATATTGAAAGTGACAAAATGTTACACCTCAATGCTGGAATTGCTAACAAATTGTCGGAGCTTCTTACCAGAAAGGATGGTTCCGGGCAGGAAATTGAACTCAGTTAAGAAACAGCTCGATGCTGTAATGGGTGAGATATTAAGGTGAGCAATCTGGAAAGATTAGATCAAATAAGGCAAAGGGAGTTCTTCATTCAAACTTACAAGATATTGCTCTCAATGGCAATTGCCATTTCAGCTAATTAAACCCCAGGAGCACTCCCAACACACTCTGTGGGACCCCAAGGCTTGGCTCTCACCAACCTGCACCTAACATTCTCCAGAATTAGGTAAGAAGGGTGAGTCTCTCCAGGAGAGAGTGCATATTCCATTCCAGACACAGGAGAATTTTTATGCGTAGGTGGCATACATATGTGGAACTCTCAATTTGAATTTAAATTATTTTGATCATGGTGTTGGGTTTCCGCATGTTTCAGACACAACAAATTACAACAAAATGATATAGAATTACACGTAATGTTACAGCACCGAAACAGGACATTTGTTCTAACTAGTTCTTGCTAATGTTTGCAATCCACACAAATCTTCACTCTTCTTAACCAGCTCTCCTCTACCCCTCTTCTCAAGTATGCATTACGTCTTCTCTTAAATATGTTGAAACGTTTTGCTTCAACCATAGTTTACAGGAATGAGTTCCACTTTCTCACCTCTCTCTATGTAAAGTTCCTCTTAAGCCACTTTTTAGATCTGCAGCTGGCTATTTTATATTTATTTACCCTAATTTTGGACTCACCAACAGGTGGAAACAACCTATTTATTATGACTGAAATAAAGAGGTATGTTTAAGACAATGGTCTTAGGGCTAAAATCATGAGACATTTCAGACCTCTGATTATTTGTTTTAGAAAGCAGTGCATCTGCCTGTTGACCATTTGGAAATTAAAACATAGATGTATTAGAGAAATAGATGGTTTAAGGTTTACAGAAGATCTTAAGCTTGTACTGTACTACCTTATTTCCACTGATTTAATGCACACTAAAAATTAAGGATTGCATGATTAATTCTCTGTTTGTTATTAGTTCTCAGGACTGTATTTCCTCGCATTTGTGGCCATTATATTTGGATTTATTTTATACTCCTCCGTTCCATTACCAACAGCCGAGAACCAAGATCCTGTTCAAACTGTGTCCAGTCAATTAGATGTCACTGCTCAGGCAACTGAGGTCAGTGCTCAGGAACCTACAGTCATACAGCATGAAGATCTCTAATTATTCTTGGTCTCAAATGTTGTTAGATTTCTTAATGGTATCATAGTCATAATACTTAGGAATACATGGGTATCATAGCTTTAATAGACAACAGGCATAATTGCCTTTAAGTATTGTTGCCAGCAGAAAGTTATTTATTTTGGGGATAAAAATGGTATTTTGCGCACACCATAAACGAACCGTGCTCTTTAATGCAATTAAGTTAGCTGACTGCACACTTTTCTAAGTGTACAGGTTTAATCCCAATACTGTAGTTTTCAAATGAAAGGATACATTACAATGTAAAAAGTGGCAGAGGCCGATTTGAAGAATTGTTGTCAAATGATGGTGCTATTGATTTAAACTGTAATACACCCTCATTATTTATCGAGGGTTATGCTTTATACAATGACATGATAATTTCTTAGATGTAATATATTCCAAGCTTGTATAATATCATGCATACGTCTGTGTTAATATTAATTTTAATACAATACAAAATTACAATACAAAATTAATCAGGTTAAGTCTCCGATTTTATGCTTCAAAAATGTAACATTTGATATTTCAGAATAAGGAAATAAAGGTTCCTGTAATTTAACCCAGTTGTTATTGGCTGGGTGGGGGACATAGAGCAGGCCAAAGCCTGCTGAGCGGAGGGAGCGGACAGGTTAGAAAGTAGGCGCTGAGACATTGAAACACCTACATTTTATTGGGGTTTTTAACAGTTCCAATATATTTTGCACCTGCACAACTGCCCCCAGTTGAGGTCAGCCCTCCTAATTGTGTACTGTAAACTATTTTATCACTGATCGTAGGTGACAGTTGAAATTCGAACCCACAGCTCTGCTTTCTGAAATATTTCTGAATACAAAAAGAACAATTTACTGAGTAAAACCCATACACCATCCTCTGTAATGCTCTACTGCTCCCTGGAGTCATGATGGCCCATATAGAACAATTGTTGTTATTGTTAACAAAAAAATCTTTGTGGCATACAGTGGCAGTATTACATCTGCATTTGGTGCCTTGGGACATCCTCCCAACATGAAAGTTGCTATACAAATGTAATTTGTTGTTGTTTTGTTATTGTTGGAACAACTTGTAGTGTTTGAGCAGAATTCTGTAATTTTACAAATTACAGAAGAGTCAGCAGGTTGATGTCTGGTGATACGAAAAAGATTACAGTAAAGCCAACAGCAGTGGAAATTTAGCTCTAATATAATTTCTAACACCAGCTTAAACCTTGTTGAATGATAGCGTGATTGCAATCTTGATGTAACGGCAGTAATTCAGTAGTGCCTATGAACAGACATCAACCTTAACACCTACTTATTATGCTAAGGGAGATATTGTATTATCCTAAATATTCATGTAATCATCTGGTGTAGTAATGGGAACACCCAAATGCTTAAAAGAGAAGGTCAGCATTCTTGCATTTAGTATGTAGTCATAGAGCTTTCATTTGACAAATGTACTCTTTCAGAAATATTTTGTTTTGACATTACTGAGTACCACAGAGGGTTTGCATGCTATCCTTTGATTCTGGGATTTGAACTTGATACTAGTTTGGGTTCATCTCAAAGCTGGTTCCACAGACTTAAGCCCACAGTTCTGTGGAGAGCACACTTAATGCACTGGTCAGTAACACTTCAGCTGCATCCAACATCAGACTTCAAGCCAGTTCTCAGCAAAGCACGTTTTCTAATGTTGCTAATGTACATGTTTAATCCGAATGGTATTGTTTTCAAATTCAATACATATTACAGTACAGAAACCAGCAGAGGCCTATTAAAGGACTGACGTTAAGGAGCTGTTTATTTGAACTACTGTATAATATACTCTCATCCTTTTAGAGAGATATGCTTCATACAATTACAATATCATTTCTGAGATATAATATATTCCATCCTCATATAATAGCATGCATCCTGCTGTGTTAATATTAATGTTAATCACTTTCGGTCTACAATGTTATGTTTGAAAAATGTAACATTTGAAATTGTAGAATTGGGAAATAAAGGCTCCTGTAATTTAACACAGTGGTTATTGCAGTATTATTGTGCCATTAATGTAAGTTATGAGCTGCATTCTATTATGATCGGTGATGACACTAGCATCCTTATGACAGGATCAAGAATTTCTGGTGCTAATACCGATGTCATAAGTGGGAGAAATGGACTTTTTATAAAAATCTGAGGAATTTAACCCTTTTGATGCTAAATTCAAAAACATATTTCATTTGGAAAATAAGGATCACAATGTAACATTTCTATTATTCTTTAAATGTCAGCTGAAATGTACGCAAACTGGCAGCCACGTTCGTCCATAGAAACAGTCACTACACTTTGCGGTGAGTTCTGTGAAGTGCTTTGAGACATCCTGCTGAAGTGAAAGGCGCTATATTAAGTGTAAGGATTATTATTATTAATAATACAAGAGGCTTGTTTTACCATGTTAATTTAAAACATTCATTGACTCATTATTTCTATTCCCACCCCCAAAAACTGTAGTGATGCTATAATCGGGGTGGTCTCCTCAGGGCTGAGCTGGATCCCAGGTGACTTGCCTCACATGAAGTAATAATACAACTACTTGCATTTGATATAGTGCCTTATCACACCATTGAGACGTCTCAAAGGGCTTCACAGAATATACCGTAAAGTGAATTGACTGTATATTTTGTGGGTGAAACAATATCAGAATTGAGTTGATCCTCTGGCAGTGTTGGTAGTCTGGTCCCTGCACCCTGGTAGCTCTGAGGTAGACCTTGGCACTGTTAATGGCAGCCAGGATTTAGAGGGGTAGACTGGTCATTGGGAGCAGAGAATCTTTCCACATGACTCCTGATAACTCTGCAAGCGAAAGCCCTGAAAACATTTAAACGTTTTAATGTTTACTTAAATTGAATACATTTTTGGTCAGGCTCTAGCTAATCACAAGATATCCTAAAGGTTGCTCAATTTCCTTTGAATAAATTTAAATGGGCATTTACATACCAGTTCAGTCAGTTTCCATATTTAAATATTTAAGAGTTTACTGTAATTGTTAATGCATCAATTATGATGCTCCCAAATCAGGTTTTGATATTATTGTTGTTATTGTAGTTATTGTTGTTATGTTTAGTTTCAAGCCTTGGCAACCATCACCAAATGCTTTTAGGAACAGATAAGCAAGGTGAGTCACTGCTTTTCTCTGGAGAGAGAATACGAAGTCCTTTCGACACAAGGAAACTTCCATTCGTAGTTGCATGCATATGTGGAACACTGTCTGGTTTGGATAGTCTTTGACTGCAGTTTTGGTCCCCACCCTATAGTGCTCTAACCACTAAGCGATAGGATTCCACTGCAGATCAGTTCCTCAAGAGGGCATTGTGCTATCAACTTTGAAGTACACTACCTGCGTTGATGCACCTAATGACCCAATGACAAAATATCCTAAACATTGCTCAATTTCCGTTGAATACATTTAAATGCATATTTCCATACCAGTTCAGTCAGTTTACATTTTTCACACGGAGGTAATTAATATAATAATAATAATAATAATAATAATAATCGTTGCATTTGATATAGCGCTTTTCACGTCGGGTGGACGTCCCAAAGCGCTTCACAGAACACACTGTAAAGTGAATTGACTGTATATTTGTGGGCAAACGTGGCAGCCAATTGCGCACAGCAATGTCCCACAAACAGTCGTAGATTGAAAATGACCAATTTATTATTGTTTTTGGTTTTGGAGGGATTATTAGGCGTGTGGAGTAAGGAAACTTGCCCAAGGTTTTGCCATGCCTGGAATTGAACTCAGGTCTCTCACTTGCAAAGCGAGTGCTCTAACCACTGAGCTACAGGACTCCGATAGCAATATCTTGGTATCTTGCACAGATGCACTGAGTGATGGGGAGAGTTGAGAAAGAAGAAAAGGGAAGGGGGCAGGAGAATGGGAGGAGAGTGGAGGAGTAGAAGAGGAGAGAAGGAAGGAGGAAAAAGAGAGGAAGAGAAGAAAGGGGAGACAGGACAGGAGAAAAGAAGGGGGGGGGAAGCCAAAGTGGAACTCTGGAAAAATGTAGGTGAGAAGGTAGGAAAATGGGGAAAATAATTTATACTTTGTAAAGTATATTTGTTCCAGTTTTTGTTCTCACAGATCAGTATCAATTATATCCAGTTCAATTCAGTGGCATATATATATATACACAAGGTGACAGATATCATTATATCAGCCAGGATATCATTAGCCTGGCTGTGGTGCCACCCATGAATAAACAGCCCAACACCCCATAACAACAACTTGCATTTACATGGTGCCCTTGAAACCAGGTAGTGTCTTGGAGCCAGGTTACCAGGAAATGTAGTAGAGGCCAGGACACTGAACCCATTTAAAAAGCAGTTTGATGCAGTAATGGGGGACAGTAGGGTGGGTGTTGTGGAGAGATGAGATTGGATGGGCCAAAGGGCCTTCTTCAACCAGACCAATCTTGTCAGCTTGTGAAATTGAAACTGGATTGCTTTTCCGGAGGTAATAATTCCTTCAAAAAAAATAATAAATTGGTCTCTTCAATCCACAACTGCTTGTGGGACACTGCTGTGTGCAATTAGCTGCTGTGTTTCGTCCACAAAATATACAGTCAATTCACTTAACAGTATATTCTGTGAAGCGCTTTGGGACGTCCTCCCGACGTGAAAAGCGCTATATCAAATGCAAGGATTATTATTATTATTCTGTGAAGCGCTTTGAGAAGTCGAGAAAATGTGAAAAGCGCTATATCAAATGGAAGGATTATTATTATCTCGATGTGAAAGGCACTATACCAACAATAATATAATTCTTGCATTTGATGTAGCGCTTTTCACATCTCCTAGACGTCTCAAAGCGCTTCACAGAATATACTGTAAAGTGAATTGACTATATTTGTGGGCGAAATGCGGCAGCCAATTGCGCACAGCAGTGTCCCACAAACAGTTGTGAACATTATGAAATTATGAACATCACCCTTACCCCCTACATGTGGACAGCTCTAAACGCTGGTGTCACTGCTCTAGAGAGTTAACAGAAGCCTTGGCTGGGTACAGACAAAACATACTGTAATGAGATATTTACGATGGGAATTGCATCAAAATTTAAAAAAAGGGGAAAAAAAAGTAAGGACTATTATTAAATGTCCCAGAGGTAAGCACCACAGCCTTCATCGGTATTCTCAAAATCTACACCCATGAAGCCAGTTCACAGCCCTTTCCTGCTGGATAGTGCTTTAGTTTTACCTTTAAAAAGAAAGAACAATGTACAATGTTCTTGTACAAGTACAGTGAATTAGTATCCAAATGACAGTCACAAATGCAATTTGTTTATTTTTTTTTGGAGGGTGTGAGACCTCAAAACTCAAATAGTCAGATGGTGCGTTGCTAATCAGTAGCAGAGCTGGTCACCTAACTCCCTGGTTGTCTCAGTTGACACACTTTATGAGTTCTCAGCCAAATCCAAACCCATACGTAAAGTGTTCCGTTTCTGGGAGAAGTGAATGACGTCCATCATTCCCTGCTCAAATAGCAGCTTCTTCTTATTCATAGGAGGTGAGGTCATGTTCGCAGAAGTCCATGCTTCAGGTTGCCTTGTAGCAACTCTAGAAGGGGGCAGATTCATCACTAAATCAAACTTTATATTCATAGCAGTAAAAATTGCAATATTTGTAAATACATTCTGTTCCTTAATTATCATTAAGGAAATTGCAGTTGAAAATGTATTCTTACAACCTGGGCTTACAGTCAGTTGGTGTGAGTTACATTTCAGCACTCTTTCCTGTGGGTCAGAAGGTTGTGGGTTCAAGCCCCACGTAGGGACTGTGAACTCATCGTCCGGGCTGACACTTCCATGCAGTGCTGGGGGAGTGCTGCATTGTCAGAAGTGCCGTCCTTCAGATGACACATTAAACTGAAGTCCCATCTGGATATTCAGGTGGATGTTAAAAATCCTATAGCACTATTTGAAGAGGTAAGGGAGTTTCTCCCGTATCCTGGCCAACAAACCCCCAAATAAAATTGGTCACCATTTCATGGCTATTTGTGGGACGTTGCTGTGTGCAAATTAGATGCTTTGTTTGGCTACAAATCCACAGTCACTACACTTCACAGAAACTCTGAAGCCCTTTGAGATGTTTAAAGTTATAGACACTGTATCAAATCCAAATATTATTTTTATTATTAATGATAATGACAGGTTTGGGAATAAACTCCTTCCCCTCACACACATACATCCTTTGGGTGGATGGTTTCTCTTTCAGGCAGCTCACGGTTGATTTCACAGGCTTTAGTTTAAGTTTAGCAAGAACGAGACTTACTTTTCCAGTCGCTGCAAGTGCTATTTCATGTAGAATGTTTTTACTATGAAATTAATTTTTAAGCCAATATCTGCAAAGATCTACTCTCTTTGGCAGGATTAAAGACTTTCCTAATTATTGTTTGCTTAAAAAAGTGGGAATAATTAAGCATTTTGTGGGTGAAATGTGGCAACCAATTGCACACAGCAGTGTCCCATAAACAGTCGTGGAGCAATTATTACCCCCGGAAAGCGATCTGCCAATTGACCAGCAACCGGGTTCCTGCTTAATGCTAGGTAATCAGAGGCGTGTGGAGTAGGAAACTTGCAAAAGGTTTTGCCCTGCCTGGGAATTAACCCAGGTCTTCTCGCTTGCGAGTCGAGTGCAGTTACCACTATGCTTCAGGAGAAGGAAACACTGAGAATAAGTCCACTGATTCCTCTCCTCTAAAACCTTTATGTAGGAAACAGAATTTGTGGCTTCTACAAGGGAAAGGTAGAAATGAGGAGAAAGCTGAAATAGAAGCAAAACATTTCAGGATTCATATAACAAACATTTTGTTTATAGGACGCAAGTTACTGACAACAAAAGCATAGCTTTTAGCCCAAGACAGAAGAAGTTGCAATTGTAAGAGAATGAAAATATTGTGTTTTTCAATTGAAATCTGTCCCAAAAGTCAATGTTTTTTTTAAAACGTAGTCTTTTAAAGTAGATCGAATAGATGGACAATTGTATTTTCGTGTAACTTAATAAATAACCTTTTTGCATCAAATATGTCTCTAATTTATGGAAAATATCCTGAGGTATGTTGACAGTGATCTTGGTCATGGTCAGAGAGAGCTTTGGAGAATCACTGTAACATGCACTTCTCCCAGATGGGTCGGATAAAGGTGTTATTCTGCGTCCCTGCCTCTTCTTGAGCACTTATCTCTCCAGACATCAGTGAACCCAACTCACATTTGTCTTCCTCTATCTGGGTACCTAAAAGACAAGGAAGAACATGTTGCTTTCAATTGCTCCAGGCCTTTGGCTTGACATTTTAGTCCAAATCCAACAACAGTGACGGCATGTGGTTTTCGAAACAAGTAAGACATGTACATACAAGCCTCTTCATCATAATGTACCTGCGATCCTTTTAACTTATTTACAACTGTTTAATATCACTACATATCAACAGCCCTAATGTTTTTAGCAATTGACTGTAGGCTGCTGCTCAATAACCATTCATAGAATCATACACATTATAGCATTGCATCGAGCCAATATAATCTGCTCTTTCCAATAACCTTGCAAAACAAAGATATAATAAATGTACAATAATCAGATCATATCTCTTCAATTACTTATCCATTTCCAAAAGTAATGGTCTTAGCAATGACTTAGTTCAGTATGATGCTGAACAAACCCCACATGACCTCTACAATATAAATATAAGAATACACAAGAGGCACTGACCTCTTTTTGATCAATATAAATGACCTGGACTTGGGTATAATGGGGGGAACAATTTCCAAGTTTGCAGATGATACTAAGCTAGGAAAAGTAGTAAACAGTGAGGAGGATAATAGCAGACTGCAGGAAGATATAGACAGACAAGTAAAATGGGCAGACACGTGGCAAATGAAGTTCAATGTGGAGAAATATGAAGTGATGTATTTTGTGAGGAAGAATGAGGAGAGGCAATAAAAGCTGATGGTAGAATCTTAAAGGGTGTGAAAAATCAGAGAGATCTGGGGGTTCATATCAGTAAATCTTTTAAAGTGGCAGGACAAGTAGATAAAGCTGTTAAAAATAACATATGGGGTACTAGGCCTTATAAATAGGAGCATAGAATAAAAAAGTCAGGAAGTTCTGATGAAACTTTATAAAACACTGGTTAGGCCTCAGCTGGAGTACTGTGTTCAGTTCTGGGAACCACACTTTAGGAAAGATGTCAAGGCGTTGGAGAGGGTGCAAAGGAGATTTACCATAATGGTACCAGGAATGAGAGACTTCAGTTATCAGGAGAGGCTAGAGAAGCTAGGATTATTCTCCTTGGAGCAGAGAAGGTTAAGAGGAGACTTAATAGAGGTTTTCAAAATCTTGAGGGGATTTGATAGGGTGAACAAGGAGAAACTATTTCCACTGGCGGGTGAGTTGGTAACCCGAGGACACCGATTGATTTAAAATAGTTGTTAAAAGAAACAGGGGAGGTGAGGAGAAATTTTTTCGCACAGTGAGTTGTTCGGATCTGGAATGCATTGCCTGAAAGTGTGGTGGAAGCTGATTCGATAACAAGTTTTAAGAGAGAAGTTGATAATTATTTGGGGAGAACAAGTTTGCAGGGCTGTGAGGGGAGAGCAGTGGGAGTGGGATTGATTTGGATAGCTCTTTTCAAAGCGCCGGCACAGACACGATGGGCCGAATGGCCTCCTTCTGCGCTGTATAATTTTCTGATTCTATGATGTGAGAATTCAGACGAGGTTTGAAAACCATCAGTATAATCACTGCTATTTCTGTTATTCTCTATTTTATGAAACTAACAAGCTCCTTTACTCTCTACTGCCTTAGTGCTACAAAGTGGCACTAAGGCAACCCCATTTGCATGTCAAGTGTCTTATTCCATTAGTAAGAGTCATAAACTCTAATTTACAGAAAATGTATTAAGCGAATGTAAATTACCCATTTACAATGGAAGCAGACATTGCTCTCTCTCTCTCTCTCTCCTCCACCTCCCCTCAATAATGTTCTCTTTGACGATATTCATGAAACCAGGTCATGCATTGCTTTTCAGCTCAAGAATCACAGCTTTCATTTACTGACTGTCAGAATCACAGCTTCATTTTACACTTTATTTAGGAAATTGTCTAATTGCTTCTTGGCAATCGTCATTGAGAACAAAGTCCATGTTTGTGATGATCAACAAATCAACTGCTCTGTCACCCTGATATTCCTAAAAGTTTCTATGCAAAGAAATATGAAGCTCAAAGAATGCTTCAGTAAATGAGTTTGAGATTTGACTGAAGGGCATTTTTGTTGCTAAAAAACAGAAAATCAAAAGCCTTACATTTCATTTCCAGTACCATAGCAATGTCCTGCTTCTTGGCTACCTGATTGGGAAGTTTAGAAAGAAAGGGATGTCAGGAACACACTGAGAAAACATTTTTATAACACCCTGAACAATCTCAAGGCATTTCACAGTTATTACTGTCAATTTTGGGAGGAAAACAAGTCTGCCCATGAATAGCCAGGCCTCAGTTTAAAACTCTTCCAAAACGGTAATGGTCTTTGCCATGACCTTAGTTCAGTGTGGATGCTGAACTGATTCCTCAACCTCTACTTCAGTGGTGGCCAAGCTGAGGCCCAATATTCAATCAAGAACATTTATTTTGTTGGCCGATCGTAAAGATTGGCCACCTCTGCTCTATAGTATAATAATAATGATACATAAGAAGCACAAACCACGTGTGAGAGTACAGCACTGAACTGGATTGTGAGTCAAAGTTCCAACATGGGTCTTAAATCACAACTGGTCAGGTCATCTGGGCCAGACTGACACAGTCCAATCAGAACATCTAGAAACTTGTAGTTCCTGTTTAAAATATTATTACGCTTATCAAATTCATCACAAGCTCATCCTTAATGTAGCTGAGTGATGTGAATTTTCATTCAGGGCTCATTGATTCTTATACAAGTCGTTTTCTGTTTGGCAGTAAAATAATCATTATGTTTTTCTAGCTTCACTGCAGGTTTAATCTGCAGCAATTTCTATTGGGCTTGCTTAATAAGGAATCCTAATTGGGTCATCTCCAGGGATCTGGGAGTAAGTCACACGCTCCGTGTCGATCTGTGCCATCATTGATGCAAAAGTATTTTGGAGCAAAGTTCCTGGGAGTTGGTGTGACATACTATGTTTCCCTATGTCTATCCTGTCAGAAATCACTGAATATCGTCCCTCAGTGAAAACAATAAATATACAAATCTGACTGGGGAAACAAACAGGGCGTTTCTCCAATTATGGGTTAATTTTTGACCTTAGTCATGTGAGCTTCCAAAGAGAAATTCCCATTACAATCTCACAACCAATAAATTTACCCACAATCGGAGAATCCCTTCTGTATCTGCTGAGAGCAATTTGGTTCATCCAATACCAACTTGATGTGAATCCTTTCAATTGTGCTAACTTACTTGCTTGGTGATTTGCCAACTCTCTTGGAGCTTGGAATTTTCACTCAGCGTCAGAGTGCCACAAGATATAGATTCAGTCCGTTCACTGGAGACTTTGACTGCGTCGGCAAATAAGCTGCACAAATTTTAAGGAAAAAAATCGCACTGTATCTGTACTGTACTGAGGTCTTACTGCAGGTTCTACTGTATTATCAACCTTATAAAATTGCCCCTCTAGGGCAGATGTTTGTAGGTTCTGATGTCGAGCCATGGGGATCCTCATCCTCACCTACAAGGCCATTCACAACCTTGCTCCCTCCTACCTCTCCGACCTACTATCCCCCTACCTACCTGCCCGTACCCTCCGTTCCTCTGGCTCCAGTCTGCTCCACATCCCCTGCCCCAACCGCCCTACCATCGGTGGCCGGGTCTTCAGCCTCTCAGCCCCGAGGCTCTGGAATTCCATCCCCCAGTGCCTTCACCGCTTCCTCCCTTTCCTCCTTCAAGGCCGGTCTCAAGACCTTTCTCTTTGACCGTGCCTTCAGCTCCCCTCTCGACTCTCTACCCCCTCCTCGCTCCCTCCCTTCCCTCCCCTCACCCTGACCATTTCCCCTTGCTCGGGTCCTGACCCAACTGTACAGCGCCTTGGGATGTCCTCCCGACGTGAAAGGCGCTCTATAAATGGAATCTTGTTGTTTTTGTTGTTGAGGGGGAAGGTGAAGGGAGTGAGGGATTGAGGAGACAGTTTCAGAGTTTCGGAGGGTCGTGGCTATAGGCACGGCCACTGATGTTGGAGCGGAGGGGACAAGAGACAAACAGGAGGCTGGAACCAGCTGAGTGGAGGCAGCGGGTGGTGGAGTAGGGGTTAAGCAGATCAGATAGGTAGGGAGGTGCCACGGCATTAAGGGATTTGAAAACAAGTGAGAGGATCACTCCTTGTACCATTGTACACAACATCTGTTGCATTTAAGAGTTGCCTATAAGATGATTTAAAATACACCCATGTACTCACAGTTGGAAGTTACGTGCAGATTGACAGTTTTGACAGTGCAGTAAATAGTGTTTTGGCTTCTTTAAATTCCTACCTTTGTTGAGTATGACTTAGGTCCCTAAATTGGTCCATTGAACCCTCCATCTCTGGGTCAGAGAAAGTTATATTCTGTGGTTCCTGTTCCTGATGATTTGGAGTAATTGCAGTCAGTGTCTGAAATGCCCACATCTGCTCAGCAGCAATTCCTTGTAGATGGGTGTCCTCAGTAAATAGCAATGGAGACACGCCAGCACAACGTAATGTAACTTTTTCTCCAGTTTTATCCCGTATCTCAGTCTCTCCAGCTGTGTTCTGTATCTCAGTCTCCTCAATTGTGTCCTGTATTTCAGTCTCTCCAGCTGTGCCCTGTATCTCTGTCTCTGCAGCTGTGTCCTGTATCTCAGTCTCTCCAGCTGTGTCCTGTATTTCATTCTCTCCAGCTGTGTCCTGTATCTCTGTCTCTGCAGCTGTGTCCTGTATCTCAGTCTCTCCAATTGTGTCCTGTATTTCATTCTCTCCAGCTGTGTCCTGTATCTCTGTCTCTGCAGCTGTGTCCTGTATCTCAGTCTCTCCAGTTGTGTCCTGTATTTCATTCTCTCCAGCTGTGTCCTGTATCTCTGTCTCTGCAGCTGTGTCCTGTATTCCAGTCTCTCCAGTTGTGTCCTGTATTTCATTCTCTCCAGCTGTATCCTGTATCTCTGTCTCTGCAGCTGTGTCCTGTATCTCAGTCTCTCCGGTTGTGTCCTGTATTTCATTCCCTCCAGCTGTATCCCGTATCTCTGTCTCTGCAGCTGTGTCCTGTATCTCAGTCTCTCCAGCTGTGTCCTGTATCTCTGTCTCCACAACTGTGTCCTGTATTTCAATCTCTTCAGTTGTGTTCTGTATCTCTGTCTCTGCAGCTTTGACTTGTAGCTCAGTCTCAGAAGATTGCTTTTCTGTATTCTGGAGGATCTCCTGATGTTTTATTTTGTTGCAATGTAATTCATCATCTGTTCCCTGCCTACAATTGTTTCTTAGCTTAGCGTCAGCAGTGTTCCAGTGGCTGTTAAACTGAGGATTCACTTTACTTGAGTAATCCTCTGAAGCTGTATTCCTGAGCTCAGGTATTGAAACATCTTTCTGCTCTATTGCTTGTCTATGGCTTTCAGGAACAATATTTTGGAGCTCATTGATTATCTCATACATGTGAGTGCTATCCAAGGCTTCTGCTTCTCTGTATGGTGGGTGATCCCCTGGAAATATTTCTTCCATTTTAAATATTGGGAATTCTAGAACATCAATTTCACCTGAAGAGATCTCAGTTGCGTCCGTGTTTTCCGTCTTTTGTGGTCCATGTGACACATCCCCCTGGAGCTCCAATTCCAAGAGAGTTTTGATCAAAACCATTTTTTCCTTCTCAGACTGATGGTTTAGCAGTGAGATTCTAACTTCCTCTGCTGTGTGATTTTCAATAGACAACTGCAGAGGGTTATTGCTGTCCAGTGGTTTGGTGATCGTCCCATACAGACACGTGGGAGCTGATGGCATGGGATGAGAATCCTTAAGTGGCACTTTATTCTTGCTGGATTTGCATTCCACATTAACTCTGTCTTGCACCTCAGTGACTGCATCAGTCAGTGATTTCTTATTGCTTTCACGATAAACCTGGATTTCCTGACATTTTGGAATATTATTTACAAGCTCCTCACTTGCTTTGTCGGGAGAATTGTTCTCATTAGTTAGGTCTTTCAGTTGACAACTTAGACAATCAAATTCTTGTTGGGGATGGGAATCTATCATTTCAAATAGTTTCTCATCTCTTTCCAATGGTGGAATTGTTGCTTGGAGGTTCATTTCCCTTACCTCAGGTTCCTTTAGCTGATTGGCAATGTCAGGGAAATCCTTTGGCTCATCGTCCTTTTGCACAGCTTTGTCAATGCAAGTTTGGCATTTCCTTTTCATTTCAGCTTCCAGCTCAGTGAGACTGTCCTTCAATAGTCTTTTTTCTTTCTCAAGAGCATCAATTGAGACCTGATATCTTGTATTATCATCCAGCAATTCTGTGAGCATTTTTTGGAGGTCACTGTCCTGATCTTTTGCTACCTTGTATTTGCTTGTCAGGTAAGACTCCAGTTTGGAGAAATTGAGCTGTTCATATTCCAATATACATTCGATATCAGTCATGTTTAACTCAAGCATGTTCTTCTCACGTTCAATAGCATGCAAGGCAATCATGAGGCTTTCATTGCTGGCTTGCTGTTGAGTGTTGAAATCAACAGATTTCCTTTCATTGTTTGCATCAAGTGTTTGAACAGATATCTCTAGATTCTCAGAAGAAACTGGGAGCAGATATTCAGACATCTCTTGACTTATTTTGTGATCTCTGTGGCATCCAGGATTCAATGGCATCAGTTGTTTCTCTGTATTAGAGACAGTGACTTGTGAAGGACTTTTTTCTCTCTCAGCTTTATCAATAATTTCCTGAAGTTTTGTGTAGTTGGGTGTCAGCTCAGTTAGCTTTGTTTGAAGTTGTTGTATTTTGGCATCAGCTGTCTTTAACAGCTTGCTTAGATCAGCCATTCTTTCTCTACAGTGTATCTGTTGTTCTTCAAGCAAGTGCTTAAACTTTGAAAGAGCCTCTGTAAGGGAATCTTTGTCAATCTTATATCTCTCAACAATCAATTGTAAGCGCTTGCTTCTCTCTTCCAACTTCTTGATTATTCTTTGGAGTTTAGAAAAGTCACAGATCTGATCAGCTGGTTCAATATCACTCACTGCTTCTTGTCCGCTGAAGCATTTGTGATTTTTAACCTTACTCCCTTTTTCTTCTTTCGTGGGATGTAACCATGATTTATCTACAATGACCTTTAGAGTTTTATTTTCATCTAGAAGATCACCAACCATGTCTTCTAACTGGCATTTCTTGTGACGCAGAACCTCTATCTGATGTTTCAATTCACTTTCCATTTCACAGATGTGTGACTGCTCCACAGCAAGCACCCTGCCTTGCTCCGCCAGTCTAATTTCAAACCATTTTTTCTCTTCCTCGTACTTTCTAATGGCAGCTTTGAGTTTTTCATTGTCTTCTTGAGCTTCAATTGCCTTTTTCTGTGACTCCCTTTTTTCTGCATCGTACTCTTTCCTTTGCGTCTCCAACTGGACCTCAAGTTCACTGGCGTGAAATTCGTCTTTGGCGACTTTTTNCTCCAGTTCAAAAATGATGGCTTCCAAAAGGGCCTTTTCCTCATCATTAAACATGGATACCTTGTTGTAATCTAACTGTTGCTTGCAATCTGCTTCCTGGGAAGCAAGACTTGGGATGTCTTCACAATATGCGTTCTCTATCTCACTGACATCATCACAGTGCTCCTTTACTTTTCTCGCTCTTGTCTCCAATTCAGACACAATAGCGGTCAGCAAGCACTTTTCTGCCATGAGATTCTCAATATACAAGTGCAGACGTTTATTGCTCTCTACCAGTCCTTTAGACCTTTCCATTGGATGAGAATTCTTGAAGCCTGCTATTGTAGACTGAGAAGGAGCAGCTACATATTCATTCAGATTGCAGTGTAACTCAGCATCTGTGAGTTTGCCTTGCACTTCACAATTTACAAAGTCTGCTGTTTTATCTTTTTTCTCATCATGAGTCCACACCTTGCATATTTTGGTATCTTTCACAAGCAATTCCTCTGTTGTGGCATCTGAACAGTTATACAGAGCGTCTGCTATCTTCTGGGTGTGGTCATCAATCCTTTCTTCATCAAAGTACACTTTTTTGTTGCCGAGTAAATTGTTGACCGTCTTCTCCGAAGGCGGTTCATGCTTCTCCAGATCCCTCGGAAGGACTGAATTACCTTTCCACATTTTTCCATGCGTTTTTTGTGTGTCCTTTTCAGAGAATTCTGCAGTCGTTTGGCAATCGACTTGAATTCCCACGTTACTAACCTCTGGGATCTCAGACTTTACCTTAGACACCAGTTCAGTTATTGTGGTTTGCAGTAGCACTTTCTCTTGTTCAAGGTTCTTAACCGTCTCTTTAAGATCTGTGTTCTCTGTAAACATTTCTGACAGCATCCCTTGAAGATTGTCAATCTGATTGATGTACGTCTTCCATTGCTGGTTTATCTTGGCTTCCTTTTCACTGGAATGCAATTGTTCCTCTTCAAGAATATTCTTTAGGGTGGCAAGCTTAACATCCAATACCCCATTGCGTTCCAGGGACCAACTAATCGTCTCTTCTAGTCTCGTATTGTTACACTGAAGGTCTTTTATTGTCTCTTGCAGTTTGCTATTCTCTGAGTTAGCTATTCTTTGTTGGCTCTGCATCTGATCTTCTGTTTTACTTGAGAAGCATTTTTCCTCAGCAAGTTTATTCTCTAGATCAGAAATTTCCTGCTTCAGTTTTGCTTTCTCATCTTCATGCATTTCTAGCAGACAATTGTATTCTTTCATCTGCTTGACGATGTCTCGAAGAGAACATGCCTCTGTTTTCAGCAAGTTATCCTTGTGTGACTGTATCTCATTGAATTTGTTCTCTAGCTCAAAAGATGAGCTTTGAAGATTTCTGACGTCTGTCTCTATGCATTGGATGGAGATCTTAATTTCATTGCTAACTTCTATTAGATTTTGCATTCCAACTGGTAAAACATTTCTTCTGGAGGCGAATATTCTAAACTTTGATGCTTCAACCAATGTCTCCAACTCTGGAAGAGAGGTGTTTTGCTCTCGATGACATTCCTTCTTCTTAGAGGTCTGCAGAAGAGGTGGATTTTGCAGCTCAGACATCTCATACTTGTGGTTCTTGTCTTGTAACTCAGAAACACTGAAGCTAAATTGATGACTGTATTCCTGTAGTTCCATGATAGACTTGTAAAGACTATTGATTCTCCCACGGAGTTTCAGAATGGCATCCTGGACCTCAAAGGATTTTTCTTGCAGCTCAGAAACTGACTCTTGAAGTCTCTCATTTGTGGTCTCAGAAACCTCTAAGTTACACAGTGTTGCTTGCAGCTCTGATAAAGAGTCTTCAAATTGGTATTTGGTCTTATCCACTCCCCCAGCGTTCGACTGCAATACCTGCAATTTAGTGATTGATGGCTGATATTTGGTTCTGGTGCCCTGCAATTGTGAAATGTAATCTTCTAGCGAGTTGTTCTTCTCTTGAAGTCTGCTGATTTTGGCTTCTAACTGGGCATTACTTTCTTGCAACTCCATGACTACCATCTGAAACTGTCTGTTTTGCAATTCATAACTCTCCAACTTGAACATCTTCCCCTGTAACTCTAACAGCGTTGTTAGCAGCTCATTTTTGTAGTCCTGCAGACCATTGTAATTTTTCTGTAGAATGATATTCTTGTCGTCGAGTTTGGCAATGCTGGTTATGCAATCGTTGTGCTTTGCCTGAAGTTCTAAGATTGTGAACTGAAGTCTCTTATTGTCAGACTGAGTCATCTCGAGCTGAAAAAGCTTTTCCTTCAGTGCTGCAAGGGCATCTTCCATCTGGTACTTATTTTCATGGAGTTCTGATATGGTGGCTTGCATCTTCCAATTCTCGTGCTGGAGCTTCTCTTGTGCGTCGTTGTCCTGCAGTTCGGACACTGTCGTGCGCTGACTGGGGAGAGCTGCCTGCAGTTTGCAATTATTCTCTTCCAGTGCTGAAACAAACACCTCCAGCTGGTATTTCTTCTCTCCCAGTTCCGAGATTACCGCTTGCATTTGCTTATTTTCTATGTGTAGCTTTTCTGCAACATCCCGAACCTGGCTGACATTGTCCTGCATCTGTTTGTTAAAACTTTGCTGGTAGTCCTGCTTTTTCTCCACGTCCAACATTATATTCTTCAGTTGCTCGTTCTGCTCTTGCAGGTTTAAGACCCTGAGTTGCAAGTCCTTATTCTGAGTCCCGGCCGCCTCCAGCTCACAATCCTTTTCTCGGACAGAAGTTTCCAGTTGACTAATATTACCCCGAAGCTCCAAGATCATGCCCTGAAGTTGTTCATTTTTCACATTTAGTTTGTGCACTTCCAATTGCAGTTGACTGTTATCTCCCTTCACCTTATCTGCGGTAGTTTTCAGGTGGGTAATTGAACCCTGTATGTCGGAAAGGTGGCTCCACATCTTAGAGTTTTTCTTAATCAGGTCTGTAACCGTGGATTGCATCTTGGTGTTTCTTTTCTTGAGACTCATATTCTTTGTTTTGAAATCGTAGATTTGGGTTTCTATATCTAGACTGACTGTGCTAAATTGATTGTTCACACTCTTCAGATCTTCAATAGTTGTCTGCAAAAGCTCATTCCTCCTGTTCAGTTCACTTATTTCACACTCCATCTGGTCATTCTTCCAAAGTTGGTCTTTGAGCTGAAGGCAGAATAATATTCTATGAGAAAAAAATTTCAAGGCTGTGGGGTAAAAGCCAAGGAGTGGGATTACTTGGAAGCCTCTTTCAAAGAGCCAACAGAGGCATGATGAGCCAAATAGCTTTCTTCTGTGCTGTAAGATTCTCTGATTCTGATAATAGTCCTTATATTTGGTAAAGCCTTTCGTGTTGGGAGGATATCTCAAAGTGCTTCACAGGATTTAACTGCAAAGTGTAATGACTATGTGTCTCAGCGAATGAAAGCCGTAGCCAACTTTGTGCATGGCAATGTCCTAAAAACTCCCAATGTGAAAGGCACTAAATAAATGTAAATTTGTATTGTTTGAAATGAATGACCACAGTATGAGAATGTGGCACGACTCTTCAGTAGTACTCCTCTTGTTAGCTTACCTGTTCTGCCTGCCTTTCATATTCTTCAGTAGTTTGTAGATCACCCAGATATTTTTCCAGAAGTTCAATCCGACACTGTAGGTCCACGTTCAGTTTAACTTGGTGCTCATACTTTATCTTCCAACTGAAACAATTACTTTCCTCTGTAGCAATCTGTATGTCAGGCAAAATGTACATGCTTAGTGCCATATTGTTCTTGACTAATATTCTGTCTCTCTGTAGTTTAAAAGTGGAATTGAATTAGTTACAATTTCAGGTATGGTACAATTTCAGGGATGAGGTATGGGACAACAAATCCAGATTCCTAAAGCACACCCAAATTCAATTTCCGGCTTTAATAATTCTTGCATTTGATATAGCGCCCTGTCACGTCTTTGAACATCTCAAAGCGCTTCACAGAATATACTCTACACCTCCGCTCGACTGGTGCCGGCCTCCTGCTCATCCCTCGCACCCTCCACCCCACCATTGGAGGTTGCACAGTCAGCCACTATGCCCTGAAACTCTGGAACACTTTCCCTCAACCTTCCTCTTCAAGCGTGCTTATGGTCACCTCCCCTTCCTTGGCTCCGCCACTATTAAGTGCTCTGAGATGCGTGGAGGACGCTATATAAGTGCAAGTTGCTGTTATTGAAGTGAATTGACTGTATATTTTGTGGGCTTTCGGATGAGATGTTAAACCAAGGTTTCGTCTGCCTGTCCAGGTAGAAGTTAAAGATTCCATGGCACTATTCGAAAAAAAGTAATGACTGTTTGTGAAATATTGCTGAGCACAAATTGGTTGCCACGTTCACCCATAAAAACAGTCACTCCATTTTACAGTATATCCTGTGAAATGCTTTGGGACATACTCCTGATGTGAAAGGCACTGTACCCAATATATGGATTATTACTTATTATAAACTTTTTCTGAAACCCTTTATAATTCCTTGTTCCACCATCTGTGCTGGTAGTTTGTTCCTTATGCCAATCACCCAGCTACTAATAATAGCCCTGCTTTGGGAGCTGTGAGTCAAAACCTGACAAAATCTTATTTGGTTCCTGTCCAAATTATCCATTGACTTTAGATGAAGCAAACTACTATCACCAAACTACAGTCTAAATAAGGCAGAAAGTTACAAATCTTTAATACAGTAGATGGCTCATGTACTTGTCTGACTTTCTTACATTTATGTGTGCCAATCTGGTTCAATTGGTAGCACTTTCGCCTCGAGTCGAAGGTTGTGTGTTCAAGACTCACGTTGTAACTTGGACTTCATTTAGTCTAAGCTGATAGTGCTGTGCTGAGGGTGTGTTGCATTGTTAGAGATGCAGTCCTTTGAATGAAACGTTACACTGAGGCCCTGTCTGCCTGCTCAGATGGACATGAAAGATCCCATGGCACGATTTGAAAAGAGAGTTTCTCCCGGTGTCCTGGTCAACAATCTCCCAAAATAAAATTGGTCACTCACTTCATGGCTGTGTGTGGGATATTGCTGTGCACAAATTGGCTTTCCGTTTGCCCCCAAAACATAGTCACTATAATTTACAGTTAAATTTAAGATGCCCTCCTGATGTGAAAGGTGCAATATCAAATATAAGGATTAATATAACTATCAATTATTAATTATAAAGCACCTTTCATGTCGGGAGAATGCCTAATGTGCTTCACACAGCTGACGGAGAGTCTGAGCTAGGGGTAGGGGAAGCTGAGGAGGATCAGAAGGTGGGGAGGGGTAAGGCACCCAAAAGCATGGTCCAAAAGAAAGCTCTTAAGGGCTTACCATGGGGAGAGAATCTCCTGACCAAAGCCCACACATTATCAAAGACAGTTACACACCACTGTACAGAGAGGAAAGTTTGATACCCCTGCGGAATTACAAAGACTGTCCCCGAAATAAATGAAACAAGTCTTCACACTGTAAGAAATTAGAGCTCTCCTGATAATTGCTGCAGCTGTTGCTCACCACTCTTCACATCCACCGACAGTTTTCAATATCAAAGTCTGCTCTATTCAGAGTCTCTATAGAATTTAGTAACATTTTTGAGGCACGCTATGTGTTCAGTTTGGGGCCATGCCACTCTTGTGTGAAGATTAAGAAAAATTTTTGGACTCGCAAGTTTGGTGACTTGGAACTATCTTCAGCTGAGGGACTTCCCCAGCAACTAGGAATATGCAGATTTACAGCCATTGGGAGATTCAGGCTCCAGCGACTCACCTGCATTATATCAGAACTGATATTGCTTCTCCCCAACGTGTTGACTGGCTGAATTTCATTCTCTTGGATTTTCTGCTGTTGTTGCCTTAGTTCCTGTTGCTGTCTATACATTTGGGGAAAGACACAAGTAAATTAATTCAGTTAAAGTTTATAGTTAGACATCATTCAAGCGCTTTAGGGTTACTTATGGAGACATTATACTATTGAAGACTGACATGAAAATAAAATGGATGTAAGATAAAAGAAAACTTGTATTTTATATAGAGCCTTTCGCGTGGGAAGGACGTCTCAAAGTCATGCACAGGATTTATTGTAAAATGCGGTGACTGTGTATTTAGCAGGCAAATGATATTCAGAAAAATAAATTGCAATGGGGTCTAACCTCCAGTGTAATTTTAGAAATTCCTTAGTATGAAATAGGAATGTGTCTGGATAATGTGATGAAAAATCCATCCGCCCAGCCCCATCCCCCCACCGCGAACAGTTCTTGATACATTACTGTTCTTCATGAAGCTGGTCATGCAATACAACGTTGCCTCGAGACTTTCACCAGTCAGTTGAAAGGATAACAGTTTTACTTTGTATATTGTATTTCCAAAAAGGCCATGATCTTGCTAAACAGCAATCCAAAGCCATAATCCATTTTGTTGGTCAACTGTTTTTTTGACACATGTGGAAATCAATCACCATATTTAAGAGTATCCAAACCAAACTGAGAGTACCACAACCCGTTGAAATTTCCTTTAGTCTGGGATGGAATGTTCACTTTCTTCCTGGAAGAATGCACCTGTTCACTAATCCCAGAGCATGTTAGGGCCGAATGGCCTACTCCTGCTCCTACATGTTACATGTCATGTTAGGCAGAGATTGACCATCTGCTCCCTTGACCCCACCCCTCTCCTTACCTCCCAGCTCCACCTCCTTGCCCTTCTATTCACAAACTTCATAAACCTCTCCCTGTTCACTGGTACCATTCCCACCCCTTTAAAAACTGCCGTCATCACTCCTATCCTTAAAAAACCCTCCCTGGACCCATTCCTGCTCTCAAACTACCATCCCATCTCCAACCTCCCCTTCCTCTCCAAAATCCTGGAATGAGTAATTGCTTCCCAGCTTCGCTCCTTCCTCTCCCACCATGCCATTTACGAACTCCTCCAATTGGGTTTCCATGCCACCCACAGCACAGAAACAGCCCTGGTCAAAGTCAAATGACATTCTGTCCATCTGTGACCAGGGCTCCCTCTGCCACCTTGTCCTCCTTGACCTCTCTGCTGCCTTCAACACCATTGACCACTCTATCCTCATCCACCCCCTCTCCTCTCACCTCAACCTTCACGGTTCTGTCCTTGAATGATTCAAATCGTACCTCTCACACTGCCTCCACTTCATCTCCACAAACGGTTTCTCCTGTAGCCTCCGTACCGTCTTGTGTGACATTCCTCAGGGTTCTGTTCTTGGTCCTCTTCTCTTAAACATCTATATGTTCCATCCAGGTGACACCATCCGCAGACATGGGGTCAACTTCCACATTTATGCAGATGACACCCAACTCTACGTCTCTACCACCACCCTTGATTCCAGGACCACTGCTGTCCTGACAGAATGTCTGTCAGACATCAAGTCCTGGATGAGAGCTAACTTTCTTCAGTTGAATGTCAACAAGACCAAGGCTCTCCTGATTGGCCCTCAGAACCTCCACACCTCAGGCGCTGAAGGCATCACCATCCATGGATGCACACTCCACCTTACTAAGCCAGTTCCAAACTTTGGAGTCTTGTTTGACCCTCAACTATCCTTTCTACCCCACATCTGTGCCATGACCCGCTCTGCTTTCCCCCACCTCCACAATATTGCCCGGCTCCGCCACCATCTCACATCGCAGGCCGCCAAAATCCTCATATGTACATTCATAACATCGAGGCTTCACTGTGCAAACTCCTTGCTTGTTGGCCTCCCCAACTCCTCCCCTCCTCCCTTCGTAGGCTGCAGATCTTCCAGAACACTGCAGTCCATGTCCTCTCCTGCACCAGGCTCCGTGATCCTATTACCCCCATCCTTACCCAATTCCACTAGCTTCCCATCACACAAAGGATACAGTTCAAGATCCTGGTCCTCACCTTCAAAGGCCTCCATAGCCTTGGCCCTCCCTATCTCTGCGACCTCCTAACCCCTACCATCCTGCCCGCTCCCTCCGCTTAGCAGGCTCTGGCCTGCATCATGTCCCCCGCCTCGCCCGCCTCACCATTGGCAGGCGGGCCTTCTGCCACTCTGTCCCCACCCTCTGGAACTCCATCCCGCAGTACCTCCACCTCGCCCCCTCCCTTGCCTCCTTCAAGATCCATCTCAAGACCCTCCTCTTCGACCGTGCTTTTGATCACCCTGCTTCCCACACTGCCCTCCACCCTCCCCTGTCCCGACCCCCAGCTCGGGTCTGAAACACTGACTATCCAGTGACTTGGGACATGCTCCCGACCTGAAAGACACTTTACAAATGTAATTTTGTTGTTGCTTTGTTGTTGGCAGGAGCCAAGTCTTGGGATTGCAGTGTATGCATTGGAGTGCACTGCTGGTGTTAACCAGCTAAAATAGCACAGATTGCCATTGTGAACACTGACTGGTGAGCTTCCCTCTGCTTGTCCCACTAGAGCCACCCTCCCCGATTGGGATGTGGCTTGTAGGGTTAACAGGAACTCTGTCTGCTCTTCCATCTCCTGCTGACAAGCCAGGCTGTTGATCCTCCATCAACAACACCTTGGAGTACCATTTTGCTGTCCAAAATCCGAAAATAGATCGAGTTGGAGCAAAATTCCCACAAGTTAGCGTCATAGAATCTGAATTTATTATTCAAGAAATCACTAAGAAATACCACAAAATTGTCCCCAGGAATTCTACAGAAGATCTCACCTTTTAAAATACACTTTTGTGTCTTCAACCTCAATCTCTTTCTTTTTAAGTCTCTTTTCCTGTTTGTCACAATGCTTACATTGGACAGTTTGAACCTGTAGAGAGGAAGTATAGATTTTATTTACTGTTGATAGCAGATCTATAGAAGTCTGTGGTAAGAATTTTTTTTACACCATTTGCAATTGGGTTCAAATAATGAAGACAATAGAAATGCTAACTCTGAGGGAATCAGGTGAATAATTTATTATACTTGGTGGCATTTTAACCATTCAAGTTTAATACTCTGAACAATCTTGCTCAATAATTCATTTTGCCCATAAAATACACAGTATATTATGTGAAATGCTTTGAGAATTCTTGACGATGAGATAAGGCACTATATCAAATGCAAGGATTATTATTAACAATGATAGATACAACTACTTGTAGATTGATTTCAAATTTAGCCAGGAGGAGCAGCAGTACAACAACTTGTATTTGTATAACGCCTTTCACAGAGGATAGCGTCTCGAAGACTGCACAGTGGCAGGGTTGGACATGAACAAGGGAGAAAGGAGAGAGGGAGATGACCATAGGCATGGTCAACAAGGTAGGTCTCCAGTTGATATTTAAAGATTCTTAAAGAGGGAACAAGCTAGAGGGAATGAAGCAAGGAGTTCTAGAAATTAGACGCATAGTAGCTGAAGGCCCAACGCTGCTGCAGAGGGGTCAGCGGGGAATGCTTCATGCAATATCTTTTGTCTGCAAAACACATTTATGTGTTTTTTGTGCCTCGATCATTTTCCCAATTAGTTGCTCTTTCCCACGGCTGAAGGGTCAGTCAGATGAGCTGTGACCAGGCCACTTCCTATGTTGTTCATGAGCCCTGTGAAATTTATGTATGTTTTCCCATCGTATCACTCTTGATGGAACATCTAGCTTCTGTTCAAGCAGTGCATCTGAGATCAGACAACCAGCGGTTACTGGGATCGTGTCCGCCAATTCACTATCCCAGCATGTTGAAACTCCTACTCCGTACCCCATTGTCCAGCGCTCCAAGTCACTAACCCACATGAAGGGCATAAGATAATCGCATGTTGTTGTTGTTGCATCAGCATTTTTTTAGCATTAGATTGTTATGGATACTCCAATATTTTTCCAACTGTGATTCCCTGTTCCTTGTCTGCCTGACCTGTTGGCCTGGAGTCTAGAGGGGAAAGAAACTGCAGTCTGTAAGCAACCACCAGAGGCTTGAAATTCCACCTACTCTTAGCTTGTAGGACCATTTTGTCTTAACATTTAAGATTGCACAGAATAGTTGGAATTCTTAAATTCAGTTTTAATTTGGAAGTTGTTTTTCAGAAGTTCTTCAAAAGTATTGACTTCCAAATTAAGACTGAATTCAAGAATTTCCACTATTCTACGTAATGTAGGTGAAATTTCAGACTTTGGAAAAAACCATGAGAGAACAGCCACCCAGGCTCCACGCTTTACTCTGATACTATCACTATTATTCAGTGCCTCTCTTTCTGAACACATCAGGGACTGAGCACAGTGGGTCTCAAACCTATAAAAAAAACCTCTCTCCATAGCAGCGAATGATAGCAATCCATGGCTTCACACTAATTGTGGAGTATAAACACCGGCTTCATAATCTTTGTAATCCTAACTATTTATCATGTAAAGTTTTAGGTTATTACACACACCTTGAAAGCAGAGCAACAAGATTAATATTCTAGTAGACCTAACCTTAGAGTGCTGGCTTCCATTCAGAGCCTGAGCTCAACTACTTGGACTCATCCTTCACCTTTTCTACACTCTATGGGTGAGTCGTACAGCTTCTGAAATTGCTGTTACTGCATCTCCTGGTAACAAGCCACCCTATCATAGATGGTCACAGAAGCGATGCCAGCCCACAAGTGCACCTGTCAGCCCGCACAGAGTGGCACTGACAGAGGACAGAAAAGTAATAGGTGGATAGAAATAGGAGGCAGAATATAGAACTAGGGAGGGAAGTGCAAAAATGTGAAACAAGAAACTATTTAATGTACTCTATCTTTAGCCTTCCTGTCTTTTTTTGAGGGGCTATCCTGTAAACGGAGCGGACATAAGAAGGGAGACTAGCTTTGAGAAAACTGATAAAACATACGATGCTAAGCAGCAATGACAAGGGCGATGTAACCTCATACACCAAAGTCTCACGGTAATATTACCCTTGCGGATTTTGAAGTATGGTGAAAGTGGTTTACTAGTCCAGAGCAACAGTTGTCTTAGAAGGCTACGTGTCGGAGCAAACGTCTAGTCTTGGTTGCATCTATCAGAGTGGCAGTCAATTTATAAATAGCTCAATCTTTCAAATGCGTATATGTTAGGAATGGGACTGTGCTGATCTGAAAGATTAAAAGCTGGACTTCTGCTCAGTAACTCTGGATGGAATTAAGAGTAAAAATAGAAAGTGTTACATTACTCAAAACCCAACTGGCTTCCAGCCTGTAAGAAGAGGGAACCAGATGTATTTCGAGGAGTGAATAAGCAAGGGGGATAAACAAGAGAAAAGTTTGCTTTTCAAAACAACTGAAGTAATATTTTTATGTTTGGCTCTTAGTCGGGTTTAAAATAAAGTCCATTTTTAAAATAACTGTGGAATTTATGACAGGATTTGCACGTCATTATATTTCATGGATAGTAGTTGTATCACTGTACATGTTGCTGGTTTTCTAATTGTCATATAAAGCCAGTAAACAAACAGCAGCTATCAATCATTCATTCTGGCTCTGAAAACAATGGTTTAGGAGACACTAATGCAGTGTATGGGCTCCCTGGCCTCAATTAGTACAAAATCAAATTACAATAACTTACATTCATATAATGCTCTTCATGTGTGATAATTAACAGTGCTTAACAGTGGCGGAGCTTGATACTGAACTAGCGAGAGAGGAGAGGTGACCTCCTCTGGTCAAAGAGGAAGCTCTTCAAATGCAATCTGAAGATGGGCAAAGAGGGGAGCAAAGCAGAGGGCTTGAGGCAGAGAGTTTCAGAGTTAGAGAAATGAGAGAAAACCTGCACAACATTTCTATCAACACTACGGTTCCTAAATAGTGTATTTGTTCCATAATAAACACTTCCTCAGTAGTATCCTATAGAGCTACAATGATCTTGAAATCTACAAAACTATCATTATTTTGGGGATAGTCTTGCAACAGGTTGCATAGGATTCTCAGTCAGTGGTGTGTTCACTAACTCAAAAAGAGAAGGGAATTTCTTCTGGTGTCCTGGCCAACAAAGCCTCAAAATAAAATTAGGAATTCATTTCATGGCTCTTTGTGGGCCATTGGATGCTCTGTTTGCTTACAAATATAGTCATTCCACTTAATATTAATAAGAATCCTTGCATTTTATATTATGGAGCTTAGTAGTTAGAGCACTTGCTTCGCAAGCAAGAGGATCTGGTTTCAATTCTCGGGCAGAGCAAAACGTTTGGCAAGTTTCCTTACTCCACACGCCTCTGTTTACTTAGCAGTAAGTAGGAACCTGGTTGTTAGTCAATGGGCAGATTTCTTTTCTGGGGACATTATTCCCTTAAAAAAAGAACAATTTAAAAAATAATAATTTGATCATTCAATCCACGACTGTTTGTGGGACATTGTTGTGTGTAATTGACTGCTCTGCATTTTGCCTATAAAATATACAGTCAATTCACTTTACAGTATACAAAGATTATTATTAATAATAATAATAATTATTATTATTAATAATAATGTGCCTTATCACATTGGTGAGAGTCTCAAAACGCTTCATAGAATATATTGTAAGTGTACTTTGTACTTTGTGTACTTTGTGGGTGAAACATGGCAGCCAGTAAATCCTGTGAAGTGCTTTGAGACATATTTCCAACGTGAAAGATGCTATACCATATGCAAGAATTATTATTATTGATATGATGAAGAGAGCTACAACAAAGGGACAGTTTAGATTTAATCACTTTATGCAGAGAGCAGTTAACATGTGGAACAGTTGTCACATTGAGTTGGATGGCGAGGACAATTTCACAATTTTTTGAAGGTCCAATCTGAAATTGGGAGAAATTTTATTTAAAAATAAGACTGGCCAGATAAATTTTGCTGGCATTTTTTTTTGGTTCTGTAGAGTATTGTGCTCATATGTTCCAGTGTACAAATCTACCCTGTCAAGACCCTTAAGGATCTTATAGGTTTCTATAAGATCATCTCTAATTCTTCTATATTCTAAAGAATATAGGCCTAGTTTACTCAACCTATCCTCATAGGTCAAACCCCTCATCCCAGGAACCAACCTAGTGAATCTACGCTGCACCCCTTATAATAATAATAATAATAATAATCCTTGCATTTGATATAGCGCTTTTCACGTCGGAAGGACATCCCAAAGCGCTTCACAGAACACACTGTAAAGTGAATTGACTGTAAATTTGTGGGCGAACGCGGCAGCCAATTGCGCACAGCAATGTCCCACAAACAGTCGTAGATTGAAAATGCCAATTTTATTATTGTTTTTGGTTTTTGGAGGGATTATTATTAGGCGTGATTATTCTAATTATTATTATTATTATTATTATTATTATTATTATTATTATACGTTATACTCCATCTGCCACCTTCTTTGCCCTCTCACTAGTCTGTCTATTTGCCTTTGCATTCTTCGTGTGTCATTATTCTAATTCTAATTATTATTATTGTTCTAATAATTATTCTAAGGCGAGTATGTCCTTTCTTAAATAAGAAGACCAAAACTGCACACAATATTCTAGGTGCGGTCTCACCAAGGCCTTATACAACTGCAGCAAGACTTCCCTACTCTTGTACTCTAACCCTTTGCAACGAACGCCAACATGGCATTAGCCTTCCTAGTTGCTTGCTGTATCTGCAAACTAACTTTTTGAGACTGGTGTACAAGGACACCCAAATCCCTCTGAACACTAACACTATCTAATCTCTCCCCCTCTAGAAAATAATCCGCTTTTCTATTTTTACTACCTAGGTGAATAACTTCACACTTCCCCACGTTATACTCCATCTGCCACCTTCTTTGCCCTCTCACTAGTCTGTCTATTTGCCTTTGCATTCTTCGTGTGTCATCC